CCCGGGGGCAGCCGCAGGATCCAGAAGTTCCTGTTGCGCAGCAGGTTCTCCACGTTCTCCAGCCGCCTCTGCAGCAGCCCGTACTCCTGCAGCAGCGTCCCCAGCACGGCCCACTTGCCCTCCAGCTGGTTCCCGAACTCCACGGCTGTCTTCTCGCAGTCGGCCAGCTTCTTCTCAGCCATCCCGGTTCGACCTTCTAGGGAAAGCAGGCGAGCAGCCTGTGATTCAATCTTCCTCTCCATGGCCTGAATCGTGGCTGCCATTGTCCACGGAGAAATCTTTCAGAAACAGAAGAGAAACAACATCATTCATTCCACCCATTGTCTTCATTGATCCCCTCTCTCCCTAAGCCCAGGGGAGCTGGGCTGGGAACTCACGTGTGTGGACAAGTGGGGCCATCCCGTACCATATGCCAGATCTCAAGTTGGCAATCACTGCTTGGGTATCTTAGGTCTATGTCTGGGTGGGAGCCCTTGCTCCAGGCCTCTGCAGCACAATGTAGACCTCTATCATGGCACTTACCACTCTACACGGTAATTTCCTCCCCACGCCTACACTGTGGGCTCCCTGAACATGGTACTGCATCTTTTCACGCCACAGTCCTTGACACATGGTCGGTACCCAGTGCAATCTTGCTACGTAAACAGTGACTTAGCATTGCTGGGCATTTTAGTGGAGAAATGGTAAACTGCAGATTTACTAGAGCCCAGCCTGCCCCTCCCGTCATGATTACACAGGAACTGACTACTGATGATGACCCAGCAAAAAAAAAAAACAGCTGGTTCACTGAAACAGCACAAACAAGAGTATTGCTCAACTTTTCTTTTTTCTTTCTTTCTTTCTTTTTTTTAAAGCATCTCATGTCCCCTTTTAATAAACATAAAAATCTAATGGCCAGTTCCTCTTCCCCCCAGGACAGCCTCATTTTGTCCCCATCTGCCCCTCCCCAACAAGCTAAAATCTCCACGACTGCAAACCTCCATCAGCCAGTTAGGTTTCTGACATTGCATGAGCCCCACAAGATTCTTTCTCATTCCCAATTCCCACCCCGCTCAAGGTTAAAACGATGGCCTCAGACATGTGTGTAGCCACACCAGGAGCAGTGACATGCCTACAGACGGGTCAGGAAAACAGACATATGCCAAAAAGTTAGGCTTGTATATGGACAGCAGCCATATGAATTAAAGAAGATGAGCTTCTCTATCACTGGAAACGTTCACATGGCATATCAGTGACTGGCAGCTGGGACAAGGAAGAATAGGCACAATTTGCCTTGGGTGGGGAGCTGGACTGCTTGAGCCACCCACATTTACAGGGCAGAGAGGAGCTCCTGATGTTGGGGACCCAGGATCAACGCCTCCTGACAACAGTCTGCAGAATAATTCCTCAACAAAAGGTTGACGACTATTTCCAAAATGAAGAAGTAGCTACCTGGAACCGTGTGGATTCACTTAGAGAAAGTCACTGAGAACTAGAACGCGCATGGACACCTCAAAAAATAGAAAAAAAAAAAAAAAAAAAAAAAAAAAGAGAGTTTCAGCAGGGGCAGAAAAAAACTTGTCCAGGACGGTGCTTAAGAACCTGTCTGGATATCTGGAGGGAAGCAGAACCCCAAGAAGGTAGGACTCTAAGGGGTCTCCAAGGCTGGGAGGTTCTGCTTCTAGTTGAAAACCCGGATGAGGGTGAGGGTCTTGCTCCGAAAGAGTAGGTGGTCCCACAGGCAACTGGGCGGGCCGACTTGGTTCTGGGCTTGAGTCTGCCCTCCACCTAAGGCCACTGTTCCTTCCCTCGCCTCTCCTTTCTCAGATCAGTCCCTGTCACGTGATCCCAGACGCCAAGAGTTTACTCCGGAAGCATCCCTGTACCTGGTCACCAGCTCCCCATCCGCTGAAATCCTACCCATCCTCCAAGTGCATTATTACAGTCTTTGTGTGGCATGAAAGGGACCGCTGCATAAACTTATCAGGAAAATATTCGTCTTTTACACATGGATAACAGGATGCACGGTTTTCTTACAACTGTGATGGGGCCAGGAAGCCCTGTGTGAGGCCTTCACACTATGCGGTGGGAGGTGGCCACTGTGCGCTGCCCATTCCAGCCCAGCTTCTTACTGACTGGTGGCTGGAATATGTGGGGCTGTCCTTAGACTCCTGCCTGGGGAGCCCAAACTCTTTGCTTGAGAGAAGCTGATGGTAAGAGGAGCCAGATCCCTCACCCGCTGCCCACCCGCAGGATCAAGTCCCGGCATGCAGGCCCCTTCCTAGTCTCTGCAGCCTCCTCTCCCACTGCCTCCGAACCAAAAGCATCCTCTTTGGGCTCATGGGACTCCTTTCTGTCCCTCACCCTGCACTGCCCCGTCTCTCTGCGCCTTTGCCCAGGCACTCCTCCCTCCCTGAAAGCTCTACGGGTCTAGCCCGGCCTGATGAAATCCCAGCCTCCCCTAAAAGCCTGGCTCAAATCTCAGAGGCGCAGAGTATCAGCCAGGAGGGGTGAGCAGCGGTACCAGGCGCCCCCCTGACGCTCATACCCCTGGAGCCCAGCGCAAGCTTCCACCTGGGTGCCAGCACTCACCTTTTCTGCCCGCGTACCTGTCTGCTTGGTCCTTGAACACACAGAGCCGCTGTGTGTCTTTTCGCACTTTCCAGCTGTGCGATCCTGGGCAAGTTAACTTCTCTAGGCCCCAGGTTTTTCTTTTGTATGACAGAGGTAACAGTACCCACCCCACGGGCTCGCTATGAGGACATACTAATGCCTCAGCAGGGCTGGTGCAGTGCCTGGCTCTATGTTCCCTTCCGCGCCGACCCGGGGGAGCTGGGCACGTAGTGGGTGTCGTTGTTATGCGGATTCGAAGCTGGACACCTTCCAGGTGCCACCGGGCCCACAGGCCGAGCGCCAGGCAGATAAAAGAGCAGCGGTTGGGGGGCATCCAGAAGGAGGGGACAGCGGCTGGGGTGGGGGCAGGAAGCCCGGGAGGGCCCAAGGAACTTGGCGTGGGGCGGCCCCGGCGCGGGGACAACCGTTCCGCCAGCGCTCGGGCGCCGCCCGGAGTGGGGGCCCGGCCGGAGGGCGCAGTAGGCCCCGGCGGACCCCGCGCCCAGTTCGTGGGAAGCCCCAGGCCCGGTGGTCCGGCCCGGCCCCCGGAGCCCCTCCCCAGGGCCTGCGGCGCGGTGTGCCGGGCCCGGACCGCCTGGGGCCCCCAGGCCGCGAGTCCGTGCGCGCGCGGGTCGCCCTTACCGGAGCCGCGACCGCCTCGGCCATGGCCCTGCGCTGTCCCGCCCGGCCCGGAGGAAGTCGTCGCCGCCGCCGCGCGCGGCCCCACGCAGGCCCGGCCGCCCGGTGCTCTCCGCAGGCGGCGCCCGCCCGGCCCTGCCTCCGCCGCCGCTCCTCGCTGGCCGCCCCTGCGCCGCGCCACCCGCAGTCGCGTCGCCTCCGTCAGCACCCGGCGGGTCCACACTGCATCCTGGGAGCCGGCGCTGCGGCCCGGCAGACGAAGGCCCGTGAGGCTTCCTGGAGGCAGCGCGGCCGCACAGCCCCACCTGCAGCCCGAGAGGCGAACTGCAGGCGCGGCGCCCGCCCGCCCGCGGCCCCGCCCGGCCCCGCCCGCGGGGCCCGACGGGAGGACCCAGGGACTCTGGGCGGTCCCGGCGACCACTGCCCGACCGCCGAGCTCTGGGGGAGTCACTGCGCCGGCCCCGCGGCCCGGCCCAAGGGACCCGGTTACCCAGAGGGTCCTCTTGGTGGGACCAGCCTGGCTGCGCCCGCGGGCGAGCAGGGGCCTCCGGGCAGGGCGTCTCCCGGGTGACCGCGGCCAGGACGGCCCTCTCTTCCGGGGATGCCCCGCCCCCCTCCGCGCACCCCACGAGCACTTCTGCCCTCCGAGGTCCTGGACCTGGAGGTTTGGGCTATTTGCGGGGGGACAGATGTACTCATGCCCATCTGTGTTTGAAATGGAATAAATACTTCCAACAATAATAATATAGTTCGGTGAACCCCAGTAGACGCCACTTAGCATTTTCTATAATGTGTTTATTATAGTAAAGATTTTTAAATGGCACGAGGAGTGGAACGCAATACCATCATTTAAAATTATTTTGGTGAAGGTCTTGGTAGGGACAGATGTTCATGATATTAAAAAAAAAAATCCTGTCGAGAACGATCCTTTGTTTTAAATTAGCGTTTTAAAACAATATATAACATTATATATAGCATTATATACTGTGTAGATGTATAATTATAGTTTTGAAAAGTTTGGGAGCATATATATGAACATGGCCTAAGTAGTTTAATAGACCACAGGCCGTTTTTATGCGTTTTCTAATTTTTTCAAATTCATGTTTTTATTTTTCCATAACAAGGATAGTATTTTTAAACAAGGAGAGAAAAATAAAAATTTAAATTAAAGAGGCAAACCAGAGCAGGGGAAGGAGGGTGCCTTGGACGGCCCCCACGTGGTTACAGAGGGCATTGCCTTTCAGGAACACGACTGCTTATCTGTGTATTCCCTAAGACTGACCAGCCAACCAACGAGCACACACTGAGAAGAAAATATGTGAGATCTGTAATCTTTTTCAAACAAGGCAGACCTTATAGAATAGATAAAATTTGAGCTGGATCTTGAAGGGTTGGCAAAATATTGATAGTCAGAGAGCATTTCAGACCAGAAGGTGGTAGTAGGGGTGTGAGCTGGATGACAGCCAAAAAAAAAAAAAAAAAAAAAAAAATCGAGGCAGGAAGATATAAAGCATTTTAGGGCTGGGGGCAGGGCTCACACCTGTAATTCTAACACTTTGGGAGGCCGAGGTGGGCGGATTGCTCGAGCGCAGGAGTTTGAGACCAGCCTGGGCAACACGGCAAAACCCCATCTCTACTAAAAATAGAAAAAATGAGCAGGGCTTGTAATTCCAACTCCTGGGGAGGTCAAGGCACAAGAATTGCTTTAACCCGGGAGGTCGAGGTTGCAGTGAGCCGAGATCGCACCACTGCACTCTGGCCTGGGCAATAGAGCAAGATGCTGTCTCAAAAAAAGAAAAATTCCAGGGCAGCTCTAAGTCATTGGGTCAAATGGACGGAGAGTACACCTGCAACAGAAATACAGTGATTAGAAGTGAGACACTTTTTAGTGTGCAATTTAAAAAGTCTACTTTGACAGGCTGAATTGGATGTGCCAGGACCGTGTCTAGGTACTAATTTCCAAGCCTAGCTCTCAGAACTGCTGCATCGGTCTCTGGGGAAGCTTGTGAAGGATATGGATTTCTGGATCCCATCTCATATCTACTGAATCAAAATGTCTCTGGGATGGGTCCTGAGTATTGTGGAGAAAACTTATTTTACAAGAAGGTCTCTTTTTAACAAGTTCCTTGTACGGGTTGAAGTAAGGGTGAAGGTGGGGCTCTCCTGACTGCCAAGTTAGGGAAATGATGACTTGCTCTGTCCTCCTCCGAAGACAGGGATCTATTGCAAAGCATGTCTGGTGGCTGGTCCTCCAGCCTCTGCAGAAAGTGTGAAGATAAACCTCTTTGGATTGAAATATGAGGCTTCCAAAGCTTTTCCCTCCATTTCTACCTATGAGTCAGCCTGTGTGCACATGTGTCAAAAGCAGGCCTGAGCGTTTCCACCCCGTGCCTTTCATGAGAGTTTCCACCCCTGTGCCTTTCATGAGAGTTTCCATTCCTGTGCCTTTCCTCATGCATTTCCACTCTCCTTTTACCCACCCAAAGTTATCACACCTTTCCCAGACTAGCTTATGCCCTAATTCTTCCAGTGAAGTCTCTCCATGCCAAGCATGCCTGCAGCAAGTTCTGCATTATCTCAACTCTCATAATTTTTACGATCAGTACCATTCATTTGACACTGAGAAAAAAATTATAATACAAGGTAATAGACAGTGTCCTAACTCACCTCTTGGATTATGAGTTCCCTGAGAGCAAGGGCTATATAGTATTTCTCTTGTCTCTCCTGTAGTGCCTAATACCAGACAGGTTCAGGCAACATAAAGTAATGATTTAGTATAAGTCTTAATTGATTGCTCTGTGTGGTGTGATAAATGATAGTCCAAATAATCACCCCCCACCTCTGCTCTAATACTCATGCAACCCCTACAGTCTCCACCTTCCTGCTGAGCATTCCTGGAAAAAAAAAATCATAACGCATCTTCAGCATACCCAGAAAGAGCCTGGAAGGGCTGCTGAGCATGAGACCACATGTCAACTCCGTGTATCAGGGAGGCAGGAAGTGTGTGGTTCAGACTCCGTGCAGACTGTGTAGATGTAGGGGCTACCGATCCATGCACCCCTGTGAGAGCTTCCTATACTCCAGCAGGTAAAGCAGAACAGATGTACCTCTATTTTTCCAGCTGCTCCCTTCAACCTGAGCTTTTCTCTTGGGACCAGGCACCACAGCCTAAAAGTTTAGGCTTGGGGTTTTCAAAAAGGTTGTGGTAATCATTGCTGCCACTAAATATTTTCAACTGGCTTCTTTTGAGGAACATGGCTGGATGGCACTTCCTGGTTTCTTCTGGCTGGATTGGACCATGTGACAATTTCTGGCCAGTGTTTTTTCTTTCCCTCTACTACGGTAACCCAGCAATATTTGAGGAGGTGGGTACTGTATTTGCCTGCATCCTGGAGGCAGGGGACATTGAATAGAAACCCCAGCCACCCCATGATAAGCTACTTACAGCATGAACATGAAACTCTTTGTTGTAATAAGACACATGGTTTTGGGGTTGCTCGTTCCACAGTTTAACCTAGCCTATCCTGACAGATACAAAGGCATGGTGGAAGTTGGCCAGGCATTGCAGCAGGCATCCTTGCGTTCCAGGTGGTGTCTGCAAACTTAACTTCACTTACATTGTCTGAGTGCTCTCACACTGAGCGTTACCCTGCAGCTGTTAGATATGGTGAAGTGCTGGAGAACTTGCAGCTGGCCCTGGAGTCTCTCCCGTGGAGCCAGTGCCAATTTCCTGCCTCAAATCCCTCAGTGAAAATTGCAGATGGGGATGGACAGGGCCATGGCTCTGAGAAGCTACCTCTGTCCCTCTTCTGCCGGGAGCTGGGAGACTTACAAGCCTCTGGGATTGGCTGGCTGGAGGCCAGGGCCTCGAAAATATTCTATACCAGAGCCTTTGCGTACAGAGAAAAGTGAATGCACGTCCTGTGTGTCTGGACGCTACCTGAAATGGCCCTCTGGGAGCCAGAGTTGTGATGCCATGTCCTACTTCAACCATCCATGTAAATCTTGTCTCCTTTATAAAACATCCATGCTTGTTTTAATTTCAAAAGATTATTGGGAGTTACTGACCACAGTAAAAATTTGAGTCTTTTCCACAACAGGTTTGCCGCCGGAACACAGGTGTCGTGAAAACTACACCTAAAAGCCAAAATGGGAAAGGAAAAGACTCCTATCCACATTGTCATCATTGGACACGTAGATTCAGGCAAGTCTACCACTACTGGCCATCTAATCTATAAATGTGATAGCATCGACAAGGAATCATTGAAAAACTAGAGAAGGAGGCTGCTGAGATGGGAAAGGGCTCCTTCAAGTATACCTGGGTCTTGGATAAACTGACAGCTGAGCGTGAACGTGGGATCACCGTTGGTATCTCCTTGTGGAAATTCAAGACCAGCAAATACTACGTGACTATCATTGATGCCCCAGGACACAGAGACTTCATCAAAAACATGATTACAGGGACATCTCAGGCTGACTGTGCTGTCCTGATTGTTGCTGCTGATGTTAGTGAATTTGAAGCCGGTGTCTCCAAGAATGGGCAGACCCGAGAGCACGCCCTTCTGGCTTACACACTGGGTGTGAAGCAACTAATTGTTGGTGTTAACAAAATGGATTCCACTGAGCCACCGGACAGCCAGAAGAGATATGAGGAAATCGTTAAGGAAGTCAGCACTTACATTAAGAAAACTGGCTACAACCCCGACACAGTAGCATTTGTGCCAATTTCTGGTTGGAATGGTGACAACATGCTGGAGCCAAGTGCTAACATGCCTTGGTTGAAGGGTTAGAAAGTCACTGCAAGGATGGCAGTGCCAGTGGAAACCGTTGCTTGAGGCTCTGGACTGCAGCCTACCACTAACTAGTCCAACTGACAAGCCCTTGCGCCTGCCTCTCCAGGAGGTCTATCAAATTGGTGGTATCGGTACTGTTCCTGTTGGCCGAGTGGAGACTGGTATCTCAAACCTGGTATGGTGGTCACCTTTGCTCCAGTCAACATTACAACTGAAGTGAAATCTGCTGAAATGCACCATGAAGCTTTGAGGGAAGCTCTTTTTGGGGACAATGTGGGCTTCACTATCAAGAATGTGTCTGTCAAGGATGTTCATCGTGGCAAGGTTGCTGGTGACAGTAAGAACGACCCACCAATGGAAGCAGCTGGCTTCACTGCTCAGGTGATTATCCTGAACCATCCAGGCCAAATCAGTGCTGGCTATGCCCCTGTACTGGATTGCCACATGGCTCACGTTGCATGTGAGGTTGCTGAGCTGAAGGAAAAGATTGATCACTATTCTGGTAAAAAGCTGGAAGATGGCCCTAAATTCTTGAAGTCTGGTGATGCTGCTATCATTGATATGGTTCCTGGCAAGCCCATGCATGTTGAGAGCTTCTCAGACCATCCACCTCCGGGTCGCTTTGCTGTTTGTGATATGAGACAGACAGTTGTGGTGGGTATCCTCAAAGCAGTGGACAAGAAGGCTGCTGGAGCTGGCAAGGTCACCAACTCTGCCCAGAAAACTCAGAAGGCTAAATGAATATATCCCCAAATACCTGCCACCTCGGTCTTAATCAGCGGTGGAGGAAGAACGGTCTCAGAACTGTTCGTTTCAATTGGCCCTTTAAGTTTAGTCGTAAAAGACTCGTTAATGATAGCAGAGCATCGTAAAAACTTCAGAAGGAAAGGAGAATGTTTTGTGGACCACTTTAGTTTTCTTTTTTGCATGTGGCAGTTTTAAGTTACTAGTTTATTTTTTATTTTTTATTTTAAAGATGGGGTTTCACCATGTTGGTCAGGCTGGTCTTAAACTCCCAACCTCAGGTGATCCACCTACCTTGGCCTCCAAAGTGCTTGGATTACAGGGGTGAGCCACCATGCCCGGCCTGTTGTTTCCATTAAAAATCAATACTTTTTAATGGAAACAACTTGACCAAAAATTTGTCACAGAATTTTAGACCCATTAAAAAAGTTTAATGAGAAAAAAAAAAAAGTTGATTCGATGTTTCAAGACCCTTCTCTTGCTCCTGAAATGGGAAACATTCCCTCATCTGCCTCGCAGGGTGTGAGATGGGGGCTGTGGCTCACTTTTTCGGTGTCCCGCTGCTCAAACCTCTAGGAGGAGCATGCAGACAGGCAGGTTGTGAGGCTCTAGCAGCATCTAGGGTAGGGTGTTTACAGCTCCTGAAGCCCCAGCAGGTGTGTGTGACAATGCGCTCTTTAAGTTTAGCCATCCATAGGTGGCTTGTGTTAAACAGCTCAGTTAGACCCTCTGCCTTATCACAAGGACAGAATGCTTTCTATCCTGGGGTTCTTGCCTTAGTGTGCCAGAAAAATTGGATCACCTGTGGGCTTGGGGGATGGGTGTGAGGTTTTTAAATTAAGTGCTGGTAGCTCTCAGTGAAGTGGATGGAGAGGCTAGAAGGAGGATGGAGTGGGAAAGTGGTCTTCCCCTGGAATTGGGCCGCCCAGTGGCCAGGCTCTCCTCTGCCTGGCCTCGGCTGACCAGCATGTCATCCCGCCATAGATGGCCCGCTGGTGTCTGCCACTGTGTTCTTCTGCTGGTGAGTTCCACCCAATGTCCAGCTGCTTGTGTCTGTGCTCACTGGGGTCTCAGGACTTTTATAGGCACAGGATTGGGGGTGGCTGTGGTGGGCCAGGGTTGGAAAATGCAACCTTTGGGCACGGAAACAGAATTACCTGTCCTCACCTAGGTCTGCAGTCACAGGCCTGAGGATGGAGCCTTTGCCAGGGACCCTGCCTTTCTCTACTCAGCACTTTCCTGCCCCGCTCCTGTATCACTCCCACGTCCCTCCTCACCCTGGATCTCCCTTTCAGGGGGTCTGTGCCTCT